TCCGATCCCCCCAAAACCCCAAAACCCCGAATGTGAAATATTTTAAGCCTAATGAAATTAAAAGTAATATAGAATAATCAAAGTAATAAATTTATATTGTTTTTATTTGATATGTTTTATTCTTTATCAGCAGCATGAGATGAACCTAGGGTGTAAGCAGGGAAATTTTTTATCAAAAAAAGTATTATCTATAAGTTACACTGCAGCTACCAGAAGTATTCGCTATATTGTAGAGCTCTTTCTAGGGAATTCGATAATCCAATCAGAACTGTTTGAACAACACTCTTTTTCAAATTTACTGTATCTCCTTGTAATAGTTCCAACACAAACTTCCTTGTTATTTCTGCTGCCAATTTCTGGTCCAATTACTTTTGTAAAGCATCATAATAGTTACTAACCAACATTTTCAAGAGAAGTTGAAGTTTATTTAGATTAAAGGATAGGATCTACTATTTGAAATATTATTTAATCAAATGCTTTAATCTTTAGAGGAAAGATACAGTTATTTAGTTAAAATGCTGGGGTTAATAGCTTAAAAATCTTTTAGTTGTGACTATTTAAAATCGAAGCAGTTATCCATGGATAACTAGATTAAATGCACACTCATCCCAAATAACTTAATTTTGATCTAGAATAAACCAAAATTTCTGGGCTTTGTATTCCACAGCATGAAAATTTAAACTTTCTCTCAAAATTAACATATTGCAGTTTTTTACTTCTAGCCCCAATTAACTTCGAATAAAAAGGCTTATACTAGCTGCATACTATCCCACATCTGCATATAAAAGGCGAGTCTTCAATGATTTTAAGTATTTTATAATGTTTTAACTTCAAATTATCATTCAAGAGGTAGACATCAAATCTATTGGCCTAATGATATAGTCCACAGCTTAGAGTCCTTTCATAATCAGGCCTCTTTTTAATCAATATTTGATCTTTTATCATTAGTAGCTCCTCTAAGCTTTAATACTCCTTATTCATATTTAGATTACTAAAGATTAGATGCTTATCTGGTATAATCTCATATTTACTCAGCTTTTTTAGTTTTAGATTGTAGTTAATCCTAACCCTCTCAAATTTCTCTCCAATTAATGACTCAAATTTATTCCAGAAGGTTGGCTTTTCTTTCAATTATATTATACTAGTATTTGTATTATTCTAGTTAAAGCCTACGGAATTATCATTAATACTGTCTGCTTACTCATCGTTATTTTACAATGTCTCAATATGATGTTTATACTCAGTTAAATCTTTAAATGGGTAGCCTAATAGTGAAGGTGGGTCGATTTGCTGCCCCTCATTTATATAAGTGATTTAGTTTTCATAGCTTATTGTGTTATTTGTTAAAGATGAAATGGGTCTCATAATTTAGACATTTTCAGTTAGTCCTGATTTGTTTATCTAGCTTCTGTAATTTTCTAAAGCATTATTAATCCCTATGGTACCATCTAGCTTATTTTTAGAGACATCTCTTGCACTTGGGTATTGGTAATCGTTAAACTTCATTGGCCTATAAGGCTCAATTATTGGAATTACTTCGGCTTTACCTTATACATCGATATCATATTTACTTTTTTAATCTAGCTAGAGAATAGGAAACCCTATAAGCTTTGTTTCCTAGTACTTCGAAGTTTCAAGCTCTTGATTGTTAAAATACTTAGTATTAAATCTTTAACCTGAAATTTCATTTTTATTCATTAGCTCAAGCTAGCTCACATTTCTTCTTTAAGTTTATGATTATTATTAAGGGAAATAATTGTTATTTCCATCGTATTATTTTAGTGATAAGGCAATTGCTTATCGCTCTAATTAGTTGCCTGATGTGTACTAATCTGGAAATATCTTTGGTATCATAGCATTATCCAAAAGAGAGGCAATTTTAATCTTGCTGTCATCATTCCTCGTTGATTTTAGATCCAATTTGAAAGTTCTTGTTTATTTTTAGACTCCCTTGTCTTGTTGAAATGAGGACGAATCATACTTATTTGAATCCATTATTGAAATTATAGAAAGAAATATGTTTTACGCATTCTTATAATAATATATAGTTAGTTAGTTAAAAATTATATCACCAAGCAGTCTCATTAGAATGATTCATTAAAATATGATCATTCCTAGACCAGATTATTAACGATGTTCAGTACTATGTAGCAGTGAGGTATTTGTCAATGGGGTAGAACTCACAATTCTGGAGCCATTTGAATTTAGTTGGATGCTTGGATTGATCGAATTCTACTTCTTCTGAATCCTCGATTGGTTTCTTAGGCCATTGGGTCGCAGTAAGATGACTGAAGAACTAAGAGTGCCCGACGATGCAAACCTATCCGCTGTGTTTACCCTTCGAACGCTGATATTCGATGAGAAATTGCTTGAATTTTTCTCGGCGTAAATAAGTATTGAAGACATCCTCGAGTCTGTCAGGGTAGGTTTTTATGATTTCCTCAAGCATTATTTATTTCTCATCCTTAGTTTCTTATTCTTATTCATATCTCGACAACAGATAAGATCTGACAGGTTCCTAATAGTCATAAAAGTACCATATTTTCTTTTAGTCATCAGAAAGGCTCTCACCGATAAGGCTAAAATCTAAATTAGGTATTTTTGTAAGATACTCCGCCTTCACTGATTCCAAACTCTCTGGGATATCACATACTGTGTGAGTGTTTTCTCTGAGAAGTGGATGAACTACGAAGTGGATTTTGCTAAACTAGGGATGCTCCTTGAACAATAGGTAGGCTGTTTACAGAGCTCTCCTCAGTGGTGAAATAAATACTGTTTTCACGTCTGGGAGAGTGTGTGCGAGCCTTGCACTATCTTTACATTGCTATATTCCAAGATCAGATAACGGACAGTCTAGCAAAGTGGTATCCTGAATTATAGATACGTATTTGTCTTCTGTTTCAATTCCGTGCTAAATATCTTCTGTGGTCTTCTCCCATTTGAAATTAAACGTGGAATTGGCATGTCTGATTATAATGAATTTAGAGGTATGGAGTTTTTGCAGTCTTGAAAGATTATGCTGATCCATTCTGAGTATCGGGGTATTAATATGTAATATAATATATTATTAGTTGATTCAAAATTATTCAAATTGAAAGCTCATGACTTCATAGACGGGGTTTTGGGGTTTTGGGGGTACCTCCACCAGTGGCTG